GTCGGAGTTTTGCCAAAGCGGGTGAGAGCGGATGGCCCGTCCCTCAGCGCAAGCTAGAGAAAAGAATGTGAATCTGCTGGAGCAGGGTTTGTGCAACATGGTGCTGATTTTAGCGATGGCTTTTTCCATGCACCAAGCATGAGATCATGTACAGGGCTGTATTTGCATGGTGATGTAATTTTACAGCAGAAGCTGGAAAAACAAGGAGAGTATACCATGTCTAGTGTGATTTATGCCAAGCTTTCCACAACTATGAAGACTTCCTCCCATGTCATACATATGTTGGCAGGATGAAGGTAAGAAGTGGGACAGCCCTGCCCCAAATTTCTAGACAACCTTATGCTTTGGCTGAAAAATCAACTTGTAACTCAAAAACCAACCTCCATCGGGCAGACAGTTTTCAAGTCAAACAGCATATGTGCTTAACTGAACGCTTACAAAACTACCTTTTGTTTAATATGCATGTCCTGCCAACAAAAGAACAAACCAGGGACGTCTAATGGATTTAGCAGCCCGGCACTACTTCTGTTGTGATCACAGAAGATCGGATACTCAAATACAGGTATTTAATTCCAAGTAATGTTTTATGATAACGTGGTTTACAAACTGTTAAACCCACTCATCTTTTGATGCAGAATCTACCTTTTCTTCCTTAAAAGGAATGCCATGCCATGCCATTGAGATGTAAAGACTTGAAAAATACATTTGTTGGCCTTGTTTACATACAGAATGCTATTAGTCATAAGTAAATAAACTTAGAACTGTTTGATTAACCAGTAAAATTATATACAAACATTCTGGAAAATCTGATTAAGTTTAGTCTGTGGTTGGTTTTTAACTAAGCAGGCACAAATCTCTTGTATGAATAACGTGTAATATATGATCATAACTGCTCTGCCAGTTCACCTCCATCTATTTTGGCATTGATTGAAATAAAACTGGTGCAGCTTCTGAACCTCTGCTGCTTTCATCAAAATCGTTGCAAGTCAGGAAGCTGAGTGAAATAACCAGAAGCAACAGCAAATCCAACTATCAAGCACGTGTGCCTTAGATCTATGAATAAAGTGAACTGACAAAACCACTTTCATAACAGTATTTTCAGTGACAGTAAACTTGGATGTAACAATCAAAATAGTGGCTGAGCATGCATTAAAGGGACAACATACAGCTGTCCCTATTAGGAGAGCGCTCTGAGACACCGTTTTTCCTTCTACATGTGTCCTGCAGTACATAAAGTTCCTTGTTAATTTATATTGTGGCTTGGTCTTCAAATGATCCATCATTTTCCTTTTCTGGAAAACTGCCTTAGTCTCAAATAAGCCAGGAGCTGAATTTGGAGAAGCCAAAGTCTCACATGCATTTATAGTGAGGCAACCACTAAGCAGTAAAGCGAAGTATTCTGCACTTAAAAGGCAAGACATCCCAGGTGGTTTCTAGCTGGGCTTTTAAGACATTCAAATTGAAATAATGCCTGCTGGGACACCCCATTTGGAAGCTGGTTGTGCCCTAGGAGTGGAGCTAGGAGCAGGCATGTATCCCCTTGTCTCATGTTCTTTCTTCAGGACTGTTGTCTAACACAACCATACCAATAAGCTTTAGACTAAATAAATCATCAGTGAAAAATGCTTTGTATGACAGCTAGTAAGTTTGTTTAACTGGTTCATTTTGCTACACCACAACTCTTCTTCCATCTTTCACAATTCTGCTTAAGAGTCAGTCAGCGTACGTCCACTCCAGTGTATCTTCAACATGCACTTAGAAGAAAATAATCTAGACGCTTTTCCTTCCAGCCATTTTCTATTCCCATACTTCCTCTGCAACACCTCCTATATAGATAACCACACATAATGAAGTCACTGGCAGCCCTCATCCTCCAAAACAGTTTAATTTTCCAACCCACTGTCGGCAATCCTCTGGACAACTCCTTTACCTGGCAGGCATCCTTAGAAGCACCAAAACAGGCATTACTATGAGGACTGGACTGTTATTTCAGGTGATGAGGGGTTGCTTGAAGCACAGCTTTGGTCTGCTTGCAAGGTAAATGCTGATGTTATGAATGGGCACTTCTTGGTTCTTAATCTGGGCAGGTCCCTCTCCATCCCTAGATGATCTTCCTCAGAAGCAAAAGCAAAGAGAAATCCTGGTCTCCTCCCAGTATCTTGGGAGCCAGTTATTAGGACCCAAGTAGGACACAACAGTTTAAAGAAAAAAAAAAAAAAAAAGGCAAACCAACTAAGTTTCTTTTCCTTACCATATTATTGCAGCCAAGTATTGTCTGTTACTCTCTCTACCCTGCTACACTGGAAGGCTGGAGGGCAGGCTTAAGTGGCCATCCTGGTGCCCCTGCTGCCGCCTCCTCAGCAATGGAGAAACGGAGTGTGCACTGAGTTAGCTGAGACAAATTTTGTGTGGCGGGACAAATAAAGGACTTTCTGCTTGCTAAACCTGAAATCAGCTTCCACAAGAACACTGTAGTGCTCTAGACAAATTGTGGAACAAATCTGTGCCACACGCAACTTAAATCTCCAATTCTGTAGAAAAAAGCGCAGTGTCTTTAGCCAACTATTAGGAATTTATTAAATCCTTACATGAATACACACACAAATGCAGAAAACCCCAAAGTCCAGGAATGAGTGCAGGATGAAGCAGTACCTGAGAGATGTGTTCTTCAGAGTGCTCTAGTAGTACCTGTTTTTTTGCATCATGCAAAAAGAGGCCTTATATACTTCCTCAATGAGTTAGCAATCAACTCCCCTCCCTGCACTGCCACATGAAATATAGTTCCATAGTTGCCATTTTCTTACGAGAAAAAGGTAACACTTGAGCTTCAGTCTGAGATGCTGGTAAACACTGGTATAAAAAAAGGGGGAAAAAGAAAAAAAGGATGGAATATTTTCTGTTCATAACTTTTATTATAAACACATAGATTAAATATTAACATAGGAAAAAGAAGACATTACTGGTTAGACTTTTAAAAGGCTAGGTGTCCTCAACCAGCCAAAAGTCCATTTTACACAGTATCCACTGAGTTGGCAATCTCTGTAGAACCACTGCCATAGTAATCGAAGCTTCCAAAACGCTGGGATATTCCCTGCTCTGTCTTCCAAACAGAGCAGCATTCTGCATAAGGAAACAGTTAGCTTGCACTTCTGTTTACTGCCGTTCAGCCACAATGAATGAAATAGATTCACGTATTCAAGTAAAAATATTCCAAGAATATCAGCTCAGTCCAATTCCTTTTTTCATTTTACCCAACAGCACAGGCACATCCCTAGTGTTGTAACTGTCTGGAAGTTGACCTTGTCAGTCAAGATCCTCTGGGCCTACTGGGAGCTTTGCGAAGAGCATCAGTAAGAGCTAGAACTGATGTCTGTTCCCCAAGAAACATTAAAAAACTTTTTCAGTTGATTTATAAAAACTGGTCAAAAAGTGGAACTTGCAAGAGCCTGGGAAAATACTTTTGTTTGCCCATTTTCAAAATACTAAATCACCACAAAAAAAATCTGAATGGTTGAAGTTTTAAAAGCTTCGATTATCAGCTGATTAAAAAAAAAAAACCTTAAGAGATTACATTTTTTCTTGACCCTTACTCAATGTCAAAAAAGTTAAAATAAAGAGGCTCTGAGCTCTGTGCTTAAATATAATGTACTTTCCTGTTACAGTGTTTCCCCTCGTCACTCCTGTTCCTTTGCCTTCCAGTGAGTGTTCTCACTGCCACTCTAGTTCACATCAGATGTTTGGAACAGGATCCAAGTTATAAAGAAGACAAAATTACTCATAGTCTATATGAGCATACATATTTGTAAAGTGCAGACAGCCAACAGTAAATGTGTAAGTAGTGGATTTCATGAAATATATATATATATATTTCAAATGCAGTAGTTAAAGTAGTTCAATGAGGCCTGTGCTTTTAGATGTATATATTATCAATTGTATACATGGCATTTTCCCACTTTAAAAATAACTGTGGATAAATCCTTGAAAATATGGTGACTAACAGAAAAAATAATCTTAGGATTTTAAAAAGGGAAAATACAATTTGCAATAAAAATAGGGTTTCTTGCTAGAAACAAGTAACAAAAATACACTCCCATACAATTTTTCAGCATCCTAGACGTGTAACAAATGCTTCTGCAGTAGTAGCCCACCTTTTAAACAGTGTTCGAGTCCCTTACTGTGCTGCATTTTAACTAATATCAAAAAGCACTTATGTCAGTAAATATTTGCTTACTCCTTCATACATGTTAGTCTGGGTTTTAGCAATGTAAGCAAATGCTAGAACGTTGTTGATTAATCTAAAATTATTGGCCCTGACGCTAGGCATGGCTGTTGCCTTTTATATCGTTCCACCGATTCCAACCCGAGTTCACCCTAACAGGTCTGGAGGGCCCCATTTGCAAAGATCACAGTCAGAGAACCACTCCTCTTCCAATCTCTCTGTTTACAGAGAAGGATGTGGGAAACCCAAGCGCCAGGTACATCAGGGTACTGAACAACCCCTCGTCAAAGATGGGGATTAGAAAGCCGTTGGGTTCTGCCTTATCACATAGCTCCCCTGGTGCCCTGTCCTGCTGCCACAGCCTTCCCGCTCCCTCGGGCACACCTTACTCTCATCAAATGGTGTCAACATGGGTGCAACCCCACAGGCATCTAGAATCACTCAGATTCCCACGGAGCCTGACCAAGACAGGACTGCAGATGAGGATGACATCAGTGACTAGTGAAGAAGATGATGATTCAGGGTGTTTCTCTCCAAAACTGGATTTCTGTGCTCTTTTGGAGCCCAAAAGGGGCAAAATTATCCTTTTCAAGGTGTTTTCTTTCAAAAATAAAATTAGCGTTTTCCCTGGTTCTTAAGTCTTCCTCAATAATATTTAGCCAGTATTTATCTTGGTGAAACTGAATTTTCCCAGTTACCATGGAGGTGTGGTGCAGTGTAGAACTTGTGCAGACAATATTTTTCTTTTTATTTGTACTATTTTAAACAGTGTAGAAATCAGTATCTTTGTAGAAAAATCAGTCCTGAGTTTCATCTCCAGTCTTCAAGATGGACCAATGCTGTACCATTTAATAACAACTTTTTCAGGGTTGGCCATAGTATCTTTCCACTGCTCTACTGCTTCACTGTTACTGCTATCAGGACTTATCCAGATCTGCAGCAAGACACAAAAAGAACAAGAAAAATTAGTTTACCTGATACAACACAGAGTCCCAGCCTTTATTAGTTCCAAATAAATACCATAAAAGTACAGAATGAGACACAATGTATGGACTGCGACCAAGGCATAATAGCAACAAATACAGTTCTATTAGGACTAACATATTTTGGCTTTCAGTGAGGAACAGAGGGAGTCTGGGTTTAAATTTAGCCCCTAGAATAGTTTAGAGAACTCACTACATACTGATGTTTCTCTTCCTAATGTTTTAGGTCAAGTATTATTCAAATGCACGTGCTGGGGTCAAGGGCTCCTCAAGGCCAGTGATGGCTCTATGCATTCAGAGTCCAGTTGGCTGCTGGCCTGAGCTAGCTGTCCAGCGTTCTCATGAGCATTTCAAATCGCACACTCCGACAGGCCAAACCTGCATTCCACAGAAGTTACTAATGGGCCCATACCACACTGTGTCACCCAGTATGAGTCCGTTTCTTCTCAGTATTCAATTAATGGATAGTGGCCATTAAATGAGGAAATGAGGTACAAGTAGGCAATTTTCCCCCTCAACATTATCACCAGCCTCCACTGCCAAGAGAATTCTGCTTATGTAAGTAGGTATCATTATTTACAGGACTATTTCCTCAAGTCTTCCAAGAATGAGTCCTTTTAAGACTTCTCAGAAACCTTTACCATGAAGTACACTCAGCCTACGCTGCCGAGGCAGGAGTCCTCAAGAAGTGAGAATAATGTCTTCCAGAATAACACAGACAGCTGATGTTTCATCCACAGAGATTCAATATACATCTTGCTCATGATTAAAGACATGCCTGTAAAAGCAGCCTAATTTAAGCATTGTCTGCTTAGAACACCATCCAATTAAACATCATTCTCTGAAGAACAAAGTTAATAGATCCAGCTATATTCATCTTTTTCCAGCTACCCAGCCAATTGCTCAGACTACGTTTTTCCCTGAGCCATATTTTATGTCTTCATGCGTTATGTGGCAATGTCTGCCTGCATGAGCTGAAACAATCTTTTCCGAATAACCTCTGAGGAGCAGAAGTAGCTCATTTCCTCCCCATAAAAATAAGATCCATGATTAAATGCAACTCATCAGACTGAGATGACCTCACATATTGCTAAGTGACTGCAAAATCATACCAAGCTATTTTCACCCCAAGGTAGCGCAACTAAAAAGAACAATTTTTTTTCTCCTTATTCCAAATCCAATTCCATCATCAGGCATCACAGAAAGATGGAGCATGTATGACTTGAGGCTCCATAAAATAGAGGAACCTCACATGACTCTTGCTGGCACATCACTTATATTGCACATCAGCATCTCCTATACCTGTACATCTTCAGCGGGCACAAGAAACACCACCAGAATGGGAGAGTACCATTTTCTGTACCTAGCACAGTCTTTCATCTGGCAACAGACATTACAGTTATGGTCTCAAAAGCAAGTCTATATTATTTGTTTATGCATATAGTAAAGATCTGCTAATAAATCTAGCTGGGTCAGGAAGAGCACTGAGCATTGAGAACAGCTGTGGCTCGCTATATCAAGAAGAAAAGGAGAGAAGGAAGGAAGAGGATAGTGGTTAATTAGAACAGCCAGGGGAAGAGGACAGGGAGAATAAAAAAGACCAGACTAGCAAGTTTTATGGTGGTTAAATAAATGTGATCACACAAATACTTTCAAAGAGACACTACTGAAGTTTGTGGGGGTGGGACAGGAGGAGGAGGAGAGAGAGTGAGAGAGAGAGCGCTCAACTAAAAAAATAATTTTGTGCTTGATCACCTATGCTATCACTTGACCATAGATACTTCGAATATTGTGCTGTTTTCAGCATTGTTTCACCCAGGAAGGCAGCTGGATATTGTAGCTGTTGATACCTCCTTTTACACACACCTCTTTGTAAGTGTACTGGTCTGGTGAGCCACCGCCCTCCCTTTCTGCACAGTCCATTGTAGGCTGTGGAGCTCCTGTGAGTGCTGTGTTTGTTTTCTTTAGAAAGCCTAGAGCCTGTCTGTAGGAAGCAATCTTCCACATAGTAATACTCCATACAAAAATGACTTAAGGAGTTCTTTTTAAAGGAAAAATCAAACGTCAACTTCCATTCTGACTTTAGTGCATGTTTAAGACCCCAGTACTATTCTTTCTTGGGCTACATCCCGAAGAGTTTATTCAAATCTACTATTTTGCTGTATGCCAAGTTATTTTAAGTATTTTAAAACTCATACCGATAAACTTGTGGAACTGGAGTTTTAAGCAAAGGATATCATGCTAGTTAGCAGAAACCAACCTGTCCTAGGAAGTGCTTTCTTCTCACTGAGCTTCTGCTGTAGAGCTTGATGAGAAAACTAATTCCTTGTTCAACTTGGCTAACTGGAAAAACCATCATTTCTCCCCACTTCACTTGGCCATTAGTGGACTTCAGAAGATGAGTTTTCTTCTTATAGATAATCCCTTCTGTACTAAACATTCCAACCTTCACAAAGAAATCTAGCACAAAAGGGAGGGAAAAAGGCGTAGCATACAAAGGGTTACTCACGAACACATCCAAAAAGGAACTGACAAGATCCACATGTATGGTTCAAATTGCAACAATTTCACAAAAGTCTGTCCAGAAGAACTGTATGATAGCTTTCCTGATTAGTCACAGAAACAGAGTATGTTCGATAATATTGAATTGATTAACACAGTATCCAAACAGCAAGTGCAAGATAATGCTCTTATACGTCAGGATTAATATTGGGATAAAAATCTTCCAAAATACATAAACACATAGCTTCAAACCAAACAAAAAGTAATCAAGTAAGACATCTGTGGAAACAAGCCTTGGCAATGGAAATCTACTGCACAATATGTTAGTCTGAGGTTTGTAAGGAATGTTATGAATTGCCAACCCATTCGAGCAGCAATTTACCTGTTAGAAATGCTTTTAGACAGGAGGCATGAGACAGCTGTTGTAACTTACTTGAAGACAGTGGTGTAGATGAAACTGGAAGGTTTTGTGCTTCAAGAATCTGTAACTGAATCCTCCTGTTTATTGCTTGAAAACAAGTTCCTACTTTAAGTTCTGCACGGCACACCTACAAGCAGAAGAATGTTGCCATAACATCTGGATTAAGTTGCTTATAAACTCCGGAAACACAGGAATTGTCATATGTTGGGCTCCCATGCTTCTATCTGGGATTTCCTGGACAGAAATACAAGGCTGTGTTGTATACACAGCCTGCAGAGGCACAGTAAGTGTATCTTGCACTTGTAGCTGCAGTACATGTGCTCCACTGATGGACTGCTTAAGTGCAGTGCACATATGGCCCTCCTTGGCTGCAGCCAGAGATACTGGACAAATAAACCAGTCCTCAGTTTCCATCTGGGAAAGAGTCCTCAATGGTAAGAGCAGACACACAAAGGGAAAACCAGACATGCCCTTGTAGCTCCACTGAACCTGGGTGTTCAAGTGAGAGACTAGGTATACTCCACTAGCGCAAAAACCTTTGGTGTTCCCTCCCCACACTTGAATTTTGCAATATGGACATAAAAGCAACGCTCTCCATACTCTCCATAGATACAAAGCCTCGCCACTTCCTGTCATAAGCATTTAGGGCAACTGTGTACTGTGGAGTTTCCTATGTTACGGAAGTCCTTGTGTTTTAAATGCCTACACATGTATACCCCTTCCCTGCCTGAATGTTCAGAGATCTCTACTCTGAAATTCTTTTACAGTTTTTGCTAGCAGCAAAGTTGCCTTGAGGCATCCTCATTACTCTCCTCAGATGAGGAGATGTCAGATGCTAATATACTCTGAACACTGTAAGAATAGCAGGAGAAGGCCAGTGGAGACCCAGCTTTCCTGAAAGCCTCGGTTTAAAACGGCTTTGCTAGTCCTAGTTCCTTTCAAGTTTTAACACACTTCAGTGAAGCAAAAGACACCAAGCAAAGAGAGCAACACAACAGATAAAGAGAAGTCAGGCCCCAGTTCATTGAAGAAACCCAAATTCTCTTTGCCGTTAGCCACAAAATTTCAGTGTAACCCCGAGAAGAAGCCACACACTCCACTCTGAGCTTTGGCTCTCTACTGGCCAGCAGGGTAGCTTGAGGCCTCATAGGGTAGTGCAGGGATGAATTCCAGCCCTGTCTGGAGGTCTCTTAGATAAAATTGTGAAGAAAGCCAACACAGAGAGGGAAACTGTAAGATGATTCAGGAATTTACACTGGGATGAAGCAGCTTCTAAAACAGCTTCCTCTTTCACTTAATCTTATTGCTTTTGAAGCAACATGGTTATTCTTACTAGAACTAAAAAATGTCAAGTGTAACCAGTGTTACAAATCAAGAGTATCACTCATATTACTCAGACACACTTAGATAAAATTTGCTTTTGAATTGCTAATTCAAGTTTAATTTGTTGAAAATACACGTCTAGACAGAATCTGTAAAAGAAAAACAAAGTGAGGGTAGGGGGGAAGGAAATCCCACTGTGAAAACCACCTGCTTCTTATTACACTAATGGAAACGAACTGTCTGAATTATTACTTCACAGCATGCAAGCTCGACATTAAAGATATAGCTATCTCTGCAGTTTCAAGCCACCGAAGCTCTTAGCACTTTTCTTCCATAACAAAAACAGATTCCATTTGCTCTGAGCTCTTGCTGTGAGTCCTAAGGATCCTCTGTTGCTTTTTGGTTGGAAATGGGCAATTATGTAGTGTCCTTTGCTGAACATTTCCCCAGAAAGCCCCTCCCTCAAGCTGGGGACCATGCTGTCGAAGAACTTCCTGTAGCTCTTGCCCAGAAACAGCTGCAGTTTATGACCAAAACAGCTATGTGCAGAATTCAAAAGCCTACAATTTTTTCCCCATCAAAATGCCCTTCCCCAAGAAAGTCAGGGAAAGAAAAAGAAAAAGAAATAAGAGAGAAAACCCCTGTTTCTTGTTAGCACTGAATTAGTACTGAATTCCAGCAACTCTTTCTAGGTGAAAAGACAACATACTTCTGCAGTATTGGTACTTACAGGTGCTTTGGAAGGAGGAGATACATCCAGCCAGTGACTTGACTCCTCAGAGCTAAGCTCCCGCAGTGCCAAGGAGCACTCTCCAATTGTTTTTTTCCTGGGAGTCTGTGTCTGGATTTTAAGTACCAGTTTGACAGACTGCAGGCTTTGAAGTTTGATAGCAAATACAAAAGTTTCCATGAATTCAATGTCCTAGAAAGCAAAACAGAAGGGTAACATCACCATTGTAAGAGAGTTCCACCAAACCCAAAACTTTGAAATGAAGGCTTCCTGGTTCTGGATGCCATTTTAGGTTGCCATAGAAGTGTGCTTTTATTGTGATAAGTCCCCTAGACTCACCACCTCATTGCCACATCCTGGCAGGGACAAAGCTCTGGATTATTTTTCACTGCCATAAGGAGTTGAGGCCATCTCTTCTGGAGCTTTACAGCAGCATACACACATTGTCATAACAAATTCTCCTGTGGCCTTTTGCTGCAGCCTCTCCTGCTAATTTTAATTTTCTTTCACTGTTGACTCACATTCTGGGAGGCTTACGTTGCTTTACCTTCCACCTCCTTAATATTCCTTTACTGCTATTTGGTATCTTGCCTGTTCTGACCAATTCTTACTACCTTCTGTAGAAAGCAAGTATGAACATTGTCTCCTCCCCTAGTGAGAGGCAGTACATCATCCACCTTCCCTGGGGTAAATGTGCGCCTACAGGTACGCCCAGCCTTCCTCCACTCCCCCACCACTGACTGACCAAGGCCTGTGGCTCATGGTTGTGTCCCCTGTGAGCATGTCTGTCCTGCAGACTTGAGAGAGAAGGAGGGAAAG